AACGGTAGAGAGTATATAAATAAGTTCATTACAATCCTGAGTAACCATGCGTTATGGTACGTTTTTATGAGAAATAACCCTGAGAGCCGCCTCTATATAGGCAGTAAAGATGAGACCTGCCAAATGTTCCCCTGAAGCTTTTGCATTCAAGATGAGTGGAATTGAAAGAGTATAGAGTTGGTGTTGAGGCCGGCCCCGCAAAAAAATAGCCTAGCTTTTCTTTGGGACATATTCCTTCACATAAATATATGACTTATATATGTTCTGAATATAAGAACAATGTAACAAATGAATGGAGTGGTTTGTTTTTCTCTTCTGCTCAGGTTAATATGCTTAACTTTTTCATATGATTTATTTATTGGCCTTTTGCATTAGCGCAGCATATATAATGATTGCTTATTTGCTTAGTTCTAATTACGTTGCTTTATTGATTACTCTACAACATCCATTTCCAAATAATGTTCCGATCCACAGAATTGTAACTACAGATTTACAGTTTGCTCATTTTATTTAAAGGTTGATTTTAGTATGTAAATATGTATGTATCGTATATGTTAACTAGAAAGATCTAGCAGTGAACTGTATGTACTTCTGAAAGCTTCACTTTCTAAAAGATAGTACCATAGTTATATTTTATCTATTCAACAAGTTTAGTAATGAGCATAATGGCTTATTGTTCCAATGAAAAGATGACCCAATAAAACAGAGATTTAAGAGAAATGAGAGTATTCATTCAGAGGAATAATAAAATAAATTTGTCCCCTTTATCATTGAATTAACCCTCCGGGATTTGTAATCACTTAGAAATAATTGAAACCTTAGTATATTTGCTCTTTCTAATATGAAAAAATTTACTTAATGCTTGAAACAAACGAAGTATAAGTTTGAGATATTTAAAATAGGAGAGCTCTTCTCATCAGGCCGGCCTGACGGGCTGCCCCGTCCGGCCGAGCCCGTTTGGGCACCTTCCCGGTGGAATTTTTTGATGAAATTTTTTGAGCATGTTCCTCATCAAGTCTAGTTTGTCCATACCAAATTTCAGCTCAAAATTCGATCGGGAAGGTCGTCAAATGATTTTTGCAAGTTAACTGGTCCGGAAAATACATATTCCGGACCAGTTAACTTGCAAAAATCATTTGACGACCTTCCCGATCGAATTTTGAGCTGAAATTTGGTATGGACAAACTACACTTGATGAGGAACATGCTCAAAAAATTTCATCAAAAAATTCCACCGGGAAGGTGCCCAAACGGGCTCGGCCGGACGGGGCAGCCCGTCAGGCCGGCCTGACATGATGATTTCTCTTTAAAATAGATATGTAAGTTTGAGTTATTCATCTCACACCCTTTCAAAGTTTGGTGTATTTTAATTATTTTTAATTATTTTCCCCTTTTGGTTACCAATTTGTTTGCATGTGCTGTGGAAGATTTGCGACACCGGAGTGTTAGGCAAGGCAGGGAAGTTCTTCGAACAGGTAATGATTAGGCATTTATGGGTACATGGCGGCAAGAGGTTTCAGTCAACGATGGGTTAGGACTTAGGGGGTGGTGGAAGATTTCAGTGACCATCCAAATTTGGGATGACGGAATATATATACATTTGTTACTTGAGGAAATTTTTGAAAATTTGTGAAATGTTCATAACTTTCGTATAATCTACTTTCAATATATTCATCTTTTATTTCTTATACTCATCTCATAGAGATAGATATTTTTTTGGCGAATTAAATTTACTAGAATTTATATTACTCCATAATAAATCAAGGTTAATGTGATATGTCAATGTATTAATTACTCTTCAATATGGAGTAAATTTTCCCGTGCATCGCACGGGTACTATACTAGTTTACTAATGAAAAACGATCGTATAAATCAAATGACGGGATGGTAACCTCTTGTAGCAAGTTAAGACATTTTAACCTTTTTTTCTATTTCCTTTTTACTTTCGTGAACCACACCCATTGATCCAACCGCTTGTTTTCTAAATTCTTTTTTTCTCTTTCCTTTTTGTTCGAGACTCCACTGCTGACTGCTCCCAGTCTCCAGCCATTGCTATTCTTCTTGTTTCTTTATTTTCTTTTTCTCTTATTTATCTTCTTTTTCACTCCACTCATTTCTTATCTTTACCTTTTCTTTTCATCCTAACAATCCCACCCATTTCTTATCTTTACCTTTTCTTTTCATCCTAACAATCCAACAATTTGTATTTTCTCCTCTAAAATTTTGTCTTCGTTATTAACTTTATTCTGTCATCTCAATTTTCTATTCTTTTTTACTTTTTCTTTCCCCTTTAACGTTTGTTTACTTTTTTTTTTAATTTTGTTTTTTGCTTTTAGTCCCAAATAGGACGACACCAGATTTGAATAAGTCTGAGTCATGTAAACCAGATCAAACTTAGATAATATTCAAGCTTTCACGATGACATTTATTTGAAGTTGGATGAACGAAGTGTTATATTAACACATGAGCTACTCCTCCTATTAGGGTTGATCTTTTAGGATGGAACCTCGTGACTTAACATGGTATCAGTGCCAAATCGATCCATGGTGTGGGGCCCCTTATTAATCGTGATGACACGATTATAAAAAAAATGACAATTACGACCGTATGAAAAAAACAGACCGATGAAAAATAATATAAATGATGGCACGATCCAGACGAAGTGTCTGGTCGTGAGGAGCGGTGTTAAATGTCCCACACCGGAAAAGTTTGGATGAACGAATTGCTATATTAACACATGAGCTACTCCTCCTATCAGGGTTGACCTTTTAAGATGGAACTCCATGACTTAACAAGTTGCAAAATCTAATTTTAGAAATAGTTAATGTGTGGCACAAAAAAATAATAGTTCCAAACAACGTCAAAAAATTGTGTAACTTTTGTATACTTGTACACATTTTCAAATAACTTTGTACATATGATTTTTTTTGTTAATTTTGGGAATAGACAAAAATTACCAATCTAAAAAATCCACTATACAAACAGAAAACCTATGACACAAAAAGTGTACAAAAATTTACCAATCCATATTTTAATTTACGGGTTGGGGCAGAAAATTTTGAAAAAGAATATAAAAAGTGTATTCTTTTCTAAACCGTATTTAAAGTCACAACTCTAATTGCGGTTTGTTATGTATTCATTCAATTTCTGATATATGAAATATTCAACATATTTGTATTGTAATTTCAAACGTTGAATGTCTTTTTGGCAGAAATTTAACCGTGATTTGTAAGAATTTTTTTAAAGACTAGGACCGTTAAATGACAAGAACCGAATCGTTAAGAATGGTTCGGTTCCTTATCGGTTCTATAAAATAATTTATAAGAATGGAAGCGTTAATAAAATTTTGTATTTTCAAACGGTTCCACATAAATTGCCTAGAAACCGAACCGATCCCAGGCCTGATTAATTTTAATTGAATTGAAATTTTCTGACTTGATTTGGTATAACCTATTTAAATCTAGTCTAATAAATATCTGCTCTATGTGTATTTTAAAACTATCAAAACTTGTTCTCGTCTAAGATTAAAATAAATTCAAGTAAAAACATTTATTATTGAAATAATTAGGAACGAGTGTAAGAAACTATTTCTTGGGAGAAGAACAAATAAAAAAGGAAATGAGGGGAAAATGAAGAAGAAAAAAACTTAAATAGAAATTGTTGGAATAATAGGATGAAGAATTGAATTGTTAATAACGAAAAAAAAGGATGAACAAAAAGGGGAAAAAACAAAGATAAGAAATGACTGTAGCTAGAAGATCGGTCCAAATTGAGAAAGAAGAAGGTTCAAGGAGAAAACGAAAAAGGTAAAGCTAAAATGCCTCTAACTTGCTACGATAGGTCGTTTCCGGTCATTTGGTTTATATGACCATTTTTCATTAGTAAATGCACCAATGTGATAGTATTTTTTAGTATAGGGGCTTAAATGATCTTTTCAAGATAGTAGACGGGTGTATTTGACATTTTTTCCTAAAAAAATCACCAAACATAATTAGTGATAGCCCAGTGTATAAAAAATGCAGGCCCAGGCCCAGGCCCATTACCATAAAAACTATGGAGTACATCCCAAATGCTGGTAAACTTAATTAGAGGTGGGGAAAAATACCGGAAAATTGGTATACCGCACTTACCGTACCGAATAATACCAGACAATATCGGAATATTGGTATACCGTCATTTTCGGCACGGTATCATACCGTACCGATTTATTTCGGTAAGGTAGCGGTAAATGTTTTCACACAATCGCGGTATACCGGTATAATACCATACTGACTCTCTAACCAACCATTACTTTAAATTCTAAAATATTGTAAAAGTCCATTACAATTTTGAAGCCCAAAATTAATATTTAGGTTGGTTACAAATACGAAAACACAAAAATAAAGCCCCAATTTCCTAAACCCACTATACCATTCAAACAAGTTAACCCTAATGACTAATGAGGAATATACTAATGTTTAGAAATCAATCCATCTTATTCCATGAGTTTGTGAGTCACGATGGCTGAGCCACTGAGTAGCTGACGAGTGAAGAGGGAGGGATACACTACTTATGTGACGAGTGTATTTACATAGAGATTCTGCGAGTCGAGCACACAACTTTGTCTGAAAGTCTTATTCAAATATTTTATTAAAATTATAAAAATGACTAAATACACTACTCCGTATCATATTAGGGATAAATGATTTTATATCCATGTTATTTAAATAATTTTATTTATATTTGTTAGAGATCGCTATTTATTTAATTATATCTATGTTGTTCAAGTTCTTTTAGGAGAATGCGTTATTTTTTAATACGTAACATGTTGAACTACTGCTTAAATATACTAATTATATTTATCATTCAATATTGAATATGAAGATTATTAATTGTATTTTGTAATTTTTTAAATAATGGATTAAATATGTCGCTAGTAACACCGATTTAGTATACGAAGTATTTTGTTAGTCTATCATAATTTGTTGTATTATGAGACATGGTTGGTTGGTAATTTATGGATACCGGACTGTTACACCACCGTAACAATATACTCCGTATAAATTTAATCCCAGGCGGAGAGACAATCTCAATTTTCGATTCAAGAGATCCGAGTTCAGGACTCAGGTCGCCAGGCACTCCGCCAGCCCGGGACTCAGGCGATTCACCGACGCCGGCGACGCCGACACAGGTCACGCAGCGCACCAGCCACCAGTTCGGGACGCCACCCTCTTGGCCTCTTCCATTTCCAATTATTACTGCAATTTTAAGGTTTAAATTAATTTTTAAGGTTTTATTTCTAACCCTAATTTCTTAAATATTTTAGTAATCTTTTATTTGTATATGGTATTATGGTTCGTGATTTGTGTTTTTGAGTAATGAATATTGACTATTGTGCTGCTAAATGCTACGGAGTAACAAATTGTATATGTCATGTCTAGTGTGTAAGAGTAAGACTCTAAGTTTATAATGTGTTTAAGAATCTTTGTTTTATCCGATCAATTTTGTACTTTTTAGGTTGTAGTTGTAGGACTTGTTATGATTTCTGCCCCCAAATCAGAAATTAGATTTGACAATTTTCATAGAGGGAGCATGTTAGTAAAACAGATTTTGATTCTCTTATTGATGAATTCGCTAAAGGTAAAAGACTGTAGAGTGCAAATTGGAGGTGTCAAAGTGGGTACATGACACCCGAGGGTAATTATGTAACTTATCACCGACCCATCTGCTTCTTGGTGGACAAACCTTCATCCATATCTATCCTTTCATACTGGCAAATTACTTTTAATTTTCGGGCATCAACTTATAATGTAAGCGAGTCGCACAAACACCCTAGTACATGTTTCTCGACGCTGAGTACATCTCCGAAGAGCGGGATATTTCGTGAAATTTCTTATATGTTGTCTTTTATTTCTAATAAGTTGTTTAATAATGGGCATCTTGAATCTAATATATTAAATAATGGGCTAGTTTAGATTAATCCTAACTGACTGATGCTGAATTCCTTTTATTTCACTTGAATAAAATGTCCATTCGCCCGGGACATCAAATAGAACATCCGACATTTTAGTTTTAGTGAAATCCATATTGAGTGAGAAACCCTATAGGACTAACCCTGAGCCGCAAGAGAAACCCTTGCAGACTTGCAGCATCCACAAGCCCATAAGCTTTGGCTTCTGTTAGTGTTAAAAAACGTCTTTTTCCATGTCTTGAGTAATTTCCCATTTAGGTTGGCCAGTTCTTTGTGCATGAACCTCGACGAGGCTTTCTCGCATTTTCAACAAATCTCCCGCTTCTGAGACTGTTGAATTGTTTGATTTAAAAAAAAAGAAATAATAGGTTGAAGGATCATTACCCTGATAATATATAATACGTAGTAATAAAAACTTTCGGAGGAAAAAAGGCTGGCAGCATTGAAGAAAAAAGTTGGTCCCTTGAAAAATATAAATCTTAATTTTCTTTGAGAAGTATGGATGTTTTTAATTGGATCGAGATTTTCCGATCCGGTCTGTTTAAAATTGGTGTGATCTAGTCTGAACTGGTCTGGTCTTTGTGTATTTTACCATTGTCGAAGTCTGATTTGATTTGGTTTGTAAAAATCTGATCTGGCTTGCTCTGTTTAAGTCCGTTTTGGTCTGGTCTAAGAGTGAAAACTGAAAACATCCAAAAACTCAAATTTTACTATAAAAAATAGCTATACTTAAAATGGCTTCTGGTCTAGAGTTCTTGTGAAGGGAAATTTGTTGAGGGGTTTCAACTAATGCCTTCTTCAAAATATGGATTAAATTCTTGTAAAGGAAAATTTGTTGATGGTAATTTTTGTCCCGTTATGCCCTAACTGTCACCATTTTATTGAAATCCCATTCCCATCCATAATACGATTCTTCCCTAAAATTGCTTTGTGTTGGTTAAATTCTGCAGAAAGAGCTTCCTTAACTCGCCGATCAACCCGCTGTGTACTTTCAAGTGTGTACTCTCACGCACGATGAAGCTCTCCTTTACTCTCCCATCAAAGGCCTCTTCAAGCGTAAAGAAACCATCCCAGTCCATCATTGTTGAAGACCCAGAAGTTGCAGCGTCCACCGCCAAAGAGTTTGTGACGGAGTTCGATTCCTCAAAAGCTCCGGCCAAAGCGGACTCTTACTCCAATGTTGTAATCGCTCCCATTGCAAACGAATGGGAGCCTCGCAAACGGATGAAGAATCTCGACCTACCTTCACTCAGATCGGCTGACGATCAGCCGTTGCTATTCGAGGTAGACACCGGCTCGTCTGTTGAACCCTCATCTGAATCTGTGTCCTACGGCTTAAATATCCGCAAGTCGATCGGAAAAAGTGCCGATAATGTGAACTCGGATGGGCCACAAAACCCTAATCCCGACCCCACGTTACGTAGACTAAAAGAGGATCTGAAGAGGCTTCCTGATGGTAATAGTATGGATGTGTATGATGAAATGCCCGTGGAGAACTTTGCAACAGCTTTGCTCAAGGGGTATGGTTGGTATGAAGGCAGAGGTGTTGGCCGGAATGCGAAAGAGGACGTGAAAGTGGTAGAAGTCAAAAAATGGTCCGCAAAGGAAGGGATTGGTTTTGCTGCTGCATTACCAAAGACTGACGGAGGTAATAAAGCCCAGAAGAATGGCAGTGATGAAAAGAGAGATACCAAAAATCCAAATGGGAAGGAAGAAAGAAGGGAAAAAGAAGATAAAGAACTGTTTGTCGGTAAGCACGTGAGGATAGTTGGAGGTAGGGAAATGGGGATGAAGGGAAAGGTACTGAAGGTAAAAAGCAATGGGAATGTGGTTATAAGGCTTTCCAATGATGACAGGGAGGTGATTGTTCAAGCTTCTGATGTTGCTGAGTTTGGTTCTGTAGAAGAGGCGAAATGTATGAGGAAGTTGAAGGAACTTAAGATTCAAGAAAGCAATGAAGATTCATCACGCATTAGACATCGGAGTGAACCAAGGGAAGAACCTAGGAGGGATAGGAAAGTTAGGGATGATAGACCAACAGACAGGAGAAAGGAGAACAAGCAAAGTAGAGACGAGTCAAATGGAAAGAGAGCTGAACAAATTTCTTGGCTAACCAGTCATATAAGAGTTAGGATTATAAGTAAGGATTTGAAAGGGGGGGAGTTATATTTGAAGAAAGGAGAAGTCCTGGATGTGGTCGGACCATCAATGTGTGATATATCAGTGGATGACAGTCGGGAGTTGATCCAAGGTGTGAATCAGGACCAGCTTGAGACTGCCCTCCCAAAACGTGGCGGTCCTGTCCTTGTTTTGTATGGAAGGAATAAGGGTGTGTTTGGAAGCCTTGTGGAGAGAGATAGTGAGACGGAAACAGGTGTTGTCCGAAATGCAGATACACATGAGCTGCTTAATGTGCGGCTTGAGCAAATAGCAGAATATACTGGAGATCCTGACCACATTGGCTACTAACCTATATCCTTACAAATGTTGCTGGTTGGTGATGTATTGCCAATTGAAATCAAAGGTATCTTTGTGGTTTATGCTTGTTTCATTGATCTGGCATAGTATATTGTATTCAATGGTTGAAATTTTATCTTCTTTTTATCTTCTTTATTTATACGATGTATTGTTATTATCCAGATATTGTAAGATGTGTGGATCCTTGTCTTGGGTATGGTGTGACTGTAGTATATATGCTGAAATATATTTAACTTTTCAGGGGAAGATCGGAAATGTGATTCATATATTTCCAACAAGTAGAATGTAGATCCCCCACACTTATAGTTGGGTTTCTAGAGAAGTAGATATCTATTGTAATGTGCATGTAAGATACTATCTTTCATACTACACTGATACGTTCTTCATTTTACAAGGAGTTTGATGACCCGATTTTAAAAAATAAACACAAGCATATGCCCTCGAAGTTGTCTAATAATGACTTTTTATGAAGGCTTTCAAAGTCGGCTTATGTTCAAATTATGCAAGCAAAGCTTAAAAGTGCTTTTATGGTTTTATGTCTCATAGTTATAGTGATATAAAATGCGTTCAAGTCATCTGCCATCCGCCTCTGAGGCGCAAAGTCATTGCTGAAATGCCTGTAAGGCTTAAGCTTTGCATCCAAGTAATTGGGCTTTCTCCTTCAGTCCTTCAAGGCGTAGAGGCAAAGGGCAGTGGGCTTCAAGCCTTCAATTTCACCACAAGCTGGGCTGATTTTTAAAAGTATGGTCCCTGAATTTAATTTTTGTTAAAAAATTCCCCCCTAAAATCTAGAATCCGAAATACTTGTTAGTAAACAATCAAGACTTCACTTCGATACTTCATTCATCAGCCATCTTTGTCAAAGTCGTTTACTCGTTTGTTCTCAGTGGCCTTCCACCATTCCTAGCTCCTATGAGATAAACGACCAAAATAGAAACTTCAGGACCGGCTCTCCAAGTAATTATCCCACCGGATTTACTTTAGTTTTTATTGTGTATTAAAATTTAATTATTTAAACTTTTTAATTATTAAAAATTTCAGGACTTAAACTTCTTCTTCATAATATTTATAATACCTTGTATTGGGATATAGTCTTACAGTTTGATCATTTCCTAGAGTTATACTCCCTCCGTCCCATAGAAACGCTCCGACTTTGCCTTTTTGGACGTCCCATATAAAGGTTCTCATTTCTATTTTAGGAAAACAATTAACAATCTTAAATGACAATTTCATCATTAAATTTAAAAAATAATACATTTGTAACATCACAATTATCAACACTAACCGCATTAGAGTATATACATATCAAAATTATTTCTCAAAATATACTTGAATTATCTTATTAATTGTTGTCTAAATAACCGTGCCGTTTTACCATGAGAATCTTTCAACGGGACGGAAGTAGTATGATATAGCTTAATTATTTATTAGTTTACAGTTTATAGTTATCATTAAAAGTTATCTTTTACCTTAATAATTTATTAGTTTTCTTGATCACAGTTTAATTAAAAATATTGTATTTCACTTCAGTCGGTTTGATTAAAATTATTACTTTGTTTAAGTTGGTTATTAATGATTGGTTATTTAGTTTGACTAGTTTACTGAAATTTTAGTGTTTCATGTTCTTTTAATTTTGGTATTTTATGGTTCTATGTTATTTCGACTTGGATATTTTATTGTTATGTTCTCTTTACTTTTGATTTTGTTAAGTTGAACTATTATTATGAATTACCTATGATATTGGATATGCTGCGCCAGCCAGGGCCGGCCCAGAGGGAGTTTAGGGTGTGCGACCGCAGAGGGCCCAAAAAAATTGGAGGGCCCAAAATAAATTTTTTAGTAGTAGTACTACTACTCTACTAATGTAATAATGTATGATGAATTGATGAAATAATGAAATTTAACAAATTTGGTTGTTATTTAGAATTAAATGTAATTAGTTGATGAGTTAATTGGGCTATTTATATTTAATAAAGTTATAATTGCTGCAGCTATGTTTTAAGAACATCTGTCTGCCGATCAATATTTATGTCATAAAGGAAGGCCCAAATTTTGTTATTGCACAGGGCCTCCATTTTCTCAGGACCGGCCCTGGTGCCAGCATTATATTGTTACGCCTTGAGGCTTGCGCTTCGCGAGGCTACTGCATTTCGCCCCGAGGCCCGATTTTTCCTGTCAAAACTTTGTATAGGATTACAAAATATATTTTACAATTTATGTAATTTTGAAATAGCTGGGGTTTGAGTTTTATTTATAAAAGTTATGTCACTTGTGCTGTAGTTTTTCAATTTAAAAGGAAAAAATAACTGGTGTGGTTTGAGTTATTTGAACCTTCTCACTACCTTTGTACCTATGCGAGATTTTTTTGCACTTATGCAGGATTGAGAAGTACTTGTAGCCTTGTAGATCATGTGAACTCCATAAGTAGAGCTCTGTGATTAATCATTGGAAAACTGGATTCATTTAGACAATCTGCCTAAACACAAAGTGGAAATCCAGTATGGTTAATGTAATGTTACTCTGTAATAATACTTCGTATTATTTATGAAATATTTTTACTTAAAGTTATTCACATGAAATATTAGAAGTTCGTTAGTTCGAGTGCAGCAGGGAGTGTAGTCACAAACCAAAAGTGTCACTGGATTCATATGTTCAGATGTTTGCACTTTTTATTGGCCTCCTCTGTCTATCGTCGTCTCCGTCTTTTAGTCGTGAGTTTCACGTAACCCATCCTTCGTTTTCCATCCGTTCCATTTCGTAACATCGTTTTCCCTTCATTTTTCTTACTTTTTGCTATTGTTAAATCAAGGGTCTGCTCTCCTTCCATTCCGTCGCTTTGCATAACCCATACTTGGGATGGCCCGGGACCGGTTCGACTGGCCCGGACCGGCCCTGTTTAGTACCAGCCCGGTCCGCCGACCGGGACCGGTCCAGTTGGTCCGAACCGTGGGGTGTTTTGGGGCGGGTCACGGGCTTAAGCCCTTTTGGAACCGGCCCACACCTTTTTTTGGCCTGGCTATTCGACTAGGTAGGTGGGGATGGTGGTTTGGGGGTGGGGTGGGGGTAGGAATTAATTTGAAAAGCAATTAAATAATAATAAAAAAGCACCCGAACCAACCCAACCCGGCCCGGTCCCGGAACCTACCCGGGCCGGTACCGGGCCTCCACTGCCCAAGACCCGACTCGGACCCGGTCCCGACCCGGGCCCAGGCCCCCTAACCCATAGTGCTCCAGGGGGTACGTCACACATTATCCCGTTCCGTTGGGGGGATAAGGAAGGGTTTAGCGAAAAATAGTTTCTCCCACTTCATTGTTTGGAGCTCCTCTGTTGCGTCAATTATGGATGGTGGAGAGTCCAGCAGAATTACATGCTTTTCTTCTATTTCTATGGTAAATATCATTAGATGGAATGTTCCCAAAATTTCCACAATTCATTGGCTGCCTCGCACGGTAAAATTCATTAGCTTGGTCCACTCCTGGTGAATACTTCTATTTCATACACTTTCAATATATTTCGTATGTTACTCCTTCCGTCCCACTAACAATGGGACAAGAGAGAGTGATACGCAAATCTATAAAAAGTGGTTTGTGTGGTTGAGATTGAATGGATAAAGTAAGAATAAATTAAGAATTATTTAGAGCTACACAAACTTCACTTAGGGTTGTAGATGAGGGCGTGCAAGAAGTGCTACCGCACAAGACCTCTCGATTTCAGAAGGCCCAAAATTTTAAATATAGTCTATATATACTTCGTATAGTATAATAAATCGTTATTTATTTGATTAAAAAATTCCTATCTTAGTACTTCTTTAAATACAATCATTAAATAGTAATATTTATATGTAATTAAAATGCAATTGTTAATTACAATTGTGTAATTCTTTATTTCACAAGGCCTAGTTACAGTAATTAGCCCAAAGCCCTCGTACAGTTTGGAACGAGCTTGTAACTACTTTCATTTTCATACTTTGTCATTACTTTACTTTTCTTAATATATTCTCTTTTCTACTTTTCCATTTACCTTACACCTCTATACTACACCTACTATTTTCTTCTTTAAACCCACAAAAAATCTAAGGAGACTATTATTTAAAACCGGTGGACGTATTAATATAGTGTTTTATACTTGAGGCTTCATATTCAATTTTGCACGGGGCCTTCTACATGTCAGGGCCGACCCTGACTTTACCAAATAAGGTATGAGACAATTTTAGTGGGACAATCCCAAAAAGTAAAATGTGACAATCTTAGCGGGACATAGTTAGTATCATATATCCTTGTTTTGTTATTTTCCATTTTTCGTCGCTAGTATAGATATCTGTGACAGGTTACCTAAATTCTGCATCCATCTTTAGAATTTAGTGTTCTACGTATCTACTTATTTGTTATGTGGATAGCACTATTGAACTGTGTTAAAATGCACTCCGTGTCAAATATATGCTAATAAAACATAGAATTACAGTGCCATTTTAATTGACTGCTACATTTTCAATCTCGGTAAATTCGATATTAGCTTTAGAGTTGATATTTTTCTTATATGATTTTTTCGAGTGATATAAATCTCAGGCTTGGGATCATCATTACAAGTCTTTGAAGCCTATACAATGACTTGGCATTGCAAGGCATTCTCATGGGCCACTCGAGATAATCTGATAATGTATTTAATATATTAATGAAGTCCATTTGTGCAATTACCAATCGATGTGAAATGTCTTTGATTCATCTCTTTTGAATGAATGACCGGATGTTTCATACTCCGTACATTTCCAGATGCTTATCACCAAGCCTCACCACTACACAATGACCTATTTTTAAATCTGTCTCTAACTGTTTTTCCCTATTGTTTTCATTTGTTTTTAGATGTGTAATATTTGTTTTGGTTCCTTGCACCTCTCTCTATTTTTTTTTTTTTTTTTTTTTTGTACCCATGAGGGTAGAAAATCCCTTGGGGGTTGGCACTATAACCCCATGTGGCCATGTCCCCCTCCACGTGTACTCTTTTATGTATTAATAAAATGTGTGTTTTTTATTAACTAAAAAACTTCACCTGTACTAATATTTTATTATCACTTCAACTAGCCACACTTGTGAATAAAGTAAAATTGTGTGCCTAAGGTTTACATAGCATAAAAAGATGTAATATCAACTAGACGTCTAGACCTGTACAAAACAGGGCCGGCCCGACCCGAGCCACAATAACATATGGGCGGGCTTGGGTTAGGGTGTAGGCCCGTTCGGGCCGATAAGCCCGGCCTGCTACATATAGTGTGTGTGTATATGTATATACTAATTTATTTATTTATTCGCATGCACACATATGTGTTTAAATTTAAGTTTTTAGTTCTTAACAACTAGCCCAACTAATATAATATCTATTTTTTTATTTAAAGATAATAATTTGTGCTTGAATTTTAAATTTTAGATATAGTTT